TTAAATTTCAAAAAGCACATCTCTGGAATAAAGCATACTATTGGATGTCCATTTAAATGACATGAAAATTCTCTAAATAGTAATTTAATTATAAGAATCAGTAATAATGACACACAGTATATAGAACTTATACTCATGACACCCACATGGAAAGAAACTATAAAAAATAAAACAAGATATTGTTTTTGGAAGCAGGAGAATGTGATAACACCACCGTGCGGGACTGGTGGTTTCAATTTTGGACTATTTCCAAACAAAAGGACAATGACTTTCTATGTATTGTCAGTCAATTCAGTATGTATCACATTCCCTTATGAGCAAACTTTTCTTAATTAACACAATGGCAGAAAGAAAATTACCTTTAAAGTCTAAAGACTATTGTCTAAAGACTGGAAGGATATAAATTTAAAAACTTAGGCCCTAGCCTGTGTGGCTCAGTTGGTTAGAGTGTCCTCCCCTACTCCAAAAGGCTAGTTCTATTTCCCATTGGGGTACATAGAAGAGGCAACCCATCGATGTTTCTCTCTTACATTGATGTTTCTCTCTCTCTCCTCCTCTCTCTCTAAAATCAATTTTTTAAAAATTAGGAGGGTACTTCAGGTTCCCTCACCACTGATCTCACTGTGACATGACAGCCGTGGCTCACTGCTCCTCTCCCATTTTGTATACTCAGCAGTCCAGCCACATGAACTTCACACTCTGTGGTTTGCTTTTATAGTTTCTTATATTGGAGATGTCTTCTCAATTCTTCTTTGATGGAAAATTTTATATCCATTTTCAGAATACAACACAAATGCTAGTGCTTCTGTAGGGTCTTTTCTCATTCCAACAGGCAGAGTTTGTCAATCCTTCTGCTATGGCCCCAGAGCCTTGTGTATCTGTCTTGATCCTTGTTCTTAATCTGTTGATACAAGATGCATTCCATCAAAGACTGAACTTCATGCAACCATCTTGTTCTTCCAGCTCCAAGCACACAGGAAACACTGAATATTTGTTGAATAGATCGAGTTTGTCTTTTTAAAAGATAGGAAGAACAGTATTTAGTTTTTTTGTTTTGTTTTAGAGTAGTTTACAGTACCTTTTATAAATATAGCTCATATATATATTATATATTATATATTATATATTATATATTATATATTATATATTATATATTATATATTATATATTATATATTATATATTATATATTATATATTATATATTATATATTATATATTATATATTATATATTATATATGATATATGATATATTATATATGATATATGATATATGATATATTATATATTATATATTATATATCATATATAATATATCATATATCATATATCATATATCATATATCATATATCATATATCATATATACTGTAAACAAGAGGTAACAGCAGCTTCTAGAAACTGGTTTTCTTCAAGGTTTCCTGTGTGGTAGGCACCTGGAATACTGTATAAAATGGTCTTGTGTGGTGTCCTCGTCTCCCCGCTGCTAGCTGGGTTCTGTACTGTGTGACCAGGAATGGTGGTGGCAAGACAGCCCAGTGGCCGGGAGGGGTTTCCGCTCCTGAGTGTCTCTCTACTTTCCCTCCCCTGCTTGTGCTCCTATCTGATCAGGCTAGGGACAACAAAAAGATACATAATTGTTGTTTTTTAAATCCAGTACCAATATGCAGATTTCTATAGGGCTTCCCTTTTTCCTTCTCTCTTATCTTTCTTCTCCAAGGTATTGTTACTATGTTTTGTGAATTGATTTTTGCTGCAATAAACCCTCTTGTTTCAGTCACAGCAAGAAACAAAACCCCAAACAAAGAGAAAGCCCCCCTGAAAAAAGTAGAAAACAAAAGGGTCGGGGGAGAGGGAACTTGTTGTTTTTAAACAGGACTAAAGATTAACATTGAAAAGTGAGGAGATGATGTCCACCCTTTCACAAGGCAAACCCTCCGGTATTGCCACCTCTGGTTTCTGTTTTAAATCCCTGTTTCTTTTCTGGGTGCCGATTCTTCTCTCCGTCCTCATGTTCTTTGTGTTTTGTTGTATTTTTTGTTTGTTTGTTTGTTTGTTTAACTTTGTGTCACCACCTCAGTTTGCCCCCATGTCCCTTACACACAAGTAAAGTATTCCTTCAGCAGAGCCAAGAGGTGGTGGGTGACCTGCCCGGCCCAGAGTCTCTGCCTCACCAGGTGGCTCATGTTGGAGACGTTGGTATAGTGGACAGGGAAGTCGAACACCCTTTCTGTTTCAATGCAACGTAAGATGTCTTCTTTCTCATTTATGAAGACGGGGGAATGCTGGTCTTTGCCCTCCTTCATGGAGTTCGACCTCGTGGCAATGGTCCTCACTTTGCTGAACGTGGCTGTTCTGCCATGCTACCGACACTCCCGCTTACCGTTCACAGGGGATGCCGACGGCCTGTTCATACCGGGAGGTTCGCCCGGAAGTAGCGGGCCCTGTGTGCAGCTGATGCCTCCTTGGCATCAATAACTACGTCTATTTTGTTGAAAGGGCATTAGCTTTTGTTTTACTCCAGTCAAAACCTTTCTGAGAGTCTCAGATTTCAAATTTCTTTTACATGTACTTTTCCATCAGAAAGTTGAACGTACTGTTATAGAGATTGCTAAAAAAGTTCACAGAAACCTAAAATATTTGCAACTCAAACAATGTATAAAAATTATACATCATGACCAAGTGGGGTTAATTAAAATTATGCAAGGTTAGTTCAACATTTGAAAAAAAAAAACTTAATGTAATCTATCACATCAACAAGCTAAAGAAGAAACACAGAAAAACTATGGAAGTTATGTCAGTACATACAGAATATCATTTGACAAAATCCGACATCCATTCATGATAAAATCTTTTAGCAAACTAGGAATAGAGAGGAACTTTCTCAACTTGACAAAGAACATCTACAATAAAACCTACAACTAACATCATACTTAATGAAGAGAAACTAGAAGCTTCTCTACTAAGATAAAGAATAAGGCAAGAGTATCCCCTCTAATCCCATTTACTTATCATTGTACTGGAAGTACAAGTTAACACAAGAAAATAAAAGTTATATCAACTGTGAAGGAAGAAATAAAACTTTGTCTTTGTTCACAAATGATGTGATTGTCTATGTAGAAAATCTTAAGGAATCAAGAAAAGCCTAGAAATAATCTGTGTTTATAGCAAGGTTGTAAGATACAAGGTTAATATGCAAAAGCAATTGCTTTGCTTTATGCCAGCAATGAAATATTGGAATGAACAAAATTAAAATTTTAATACAATTTACATTAACACCAAAAGAAGGAATTATTTATATATAAACCTAACAAAATATGTATACAATCTACATGAGGAAAACTATAAAACTCTGGTGAAAGAAATAAAAGAATTGAGTAATTGAGAAATATTCCATGTTCATGGGTAGGTAGACTCAAAATTGTTAAGATGTCATTTCTTCCCAAATTGATTTGTAGATTCAATGAAGCCACAATAAAAATCCCAGTGAATATTGGAAAACTGATATTGTAAATATCGACAAACATATCAACAAACTGACTTTAAGTTTTTATGAAAAAATAAAAGACTCAAAATAGCCAAGACAATATTAAAGGAGAAAAATAAAGTCCGAAAACAGACACTGCTGGACTTCAAGACTAAAAAACTATGGCAATCAACACAATCAGCACAGTGTATATTGGTAAAAGAACAGACAAATAAATAGATTGATGGGACAGAACAAATAGCCCAGAAATAGGCCCACAAAATATAGTCAATGTATCTTTGACAGAAGAGCAAAAGCAATCGAATGGAGAAAGAATAGTCTTATCAACAAGTGGTACCAAATCAAGTGGACACCAACAAGCAAAAATAATAATTTTAAAAAGAGAATCTAGACTCAGACCCTGCATTCTTCTCAAAAAATTAACTCAAAGTGGATCATAGACATAATTTAAACTTAAAGCTATAAAAGTTCTAGAAGATAACAGAAAATCTAGGTGGTCTTGGGTTTGGCAATGACTTTTTAGATACAACACCAAAGACACAATCTCACATGATTGCAGTCAAATGTTGGCTTGAGCTGTAGTCATCTAAGGCAACCAACTTCTGGATGGCCAGGTTGGCTCACCTCAATGGCTGGCAGTTGATGCTAGCTCTTAGCTGGGAGTTCAGCTTGGGCTGTTGACTGGTCTGCCTGTATGTATCCTTTGCCGCATGATGGTGTCAGTTAGAGTACTTACAGGGCACCAGCTTCCCCGGAGCTAGTGTTCCTAGAGGAGCAGGTGGGAGCTGCATGGCCTTTCCTGCCTTGTTGGCCTAGGAAGTCACACAGCATCACTTCCCTTGCAGTCTGTTGCCTACAAGTGACTCACAAAGCCGAATGCACAGACTGCCCAGCCTAGGCCTCCTTATTCTCTCTTCTGTCCTTCTAAAATGTGTCTTCCTTTCCCCTCCATCTCTGTTGGTCTAATTCCTTTCTATCTTTCAAGGTCTGCCTCAGTACCACCGGCCAAGGCCTTTCAGATCCCATCAGTCAGCTACCAGGATCAAAGTGGTTGAGATGAGAAAGACATCAGTTTAAATCCCAGGTCTCCTATTTAAGAGCTTCCCAACCTTGGGAAAGTTATTAATTCCTTTATGTGAAAAGCAAGAGCAATGTCCGGACCTGCCTACCTTACAGGGTTGTTGTAAATGTTGAATGACAAAACAGTAGAGAACATTTCCTATAACAAATAGGAAATAGACAATGTTAGCTATTCTTGTTACCCTACCTTCTTTCCCCAAAGCCCATAGCATTTTATTTGTACCTTGTTTGTGTCTATCATAATTTGACCCTTGTGATAATAAGTCATGGGCTTATTTTCTAGGGGCAACCTATCCCAGGATATATCTGTATTTTGAATATCAACTCAGAGCCCCTTTGATTTCTTAGGCCTCAATAAGCAAAACACATCAAGAAACTTACCATTTTATTTCTATTATTCCTTGTAACATTTTCTTTTCATGATTCTTCTTGCAGAAATTAGAAAAGAAAAATCTGAGAAGACTTCTTCAGTTCTGAAAGATAAAGGTAATAGAGTCAATGTAACATAACACTAGAAATTTATTAGCAAAAATATTTGAATGGGCCCATAGTGCATTAGTCATCATCTTTGCAGATGTGGGGGCCAAAATTCCATAGGTCACCCCTCTATATTTGAAATGTTGTATTTATTTATCTGTCCCGCAAATACTTTCCTGTAGTTCACCATGACTTAAAGTGCTCTGATTATAATTTCAAAAACTAAGAAAAAAAGACAGAGAAAGGATTTTTCTTAAAGAATAAAAAGGTTTAACAAAAAGGTTAGAAGGGAAGTAAAGATTGCAGAAGAAAGGACTTACCTTTACGCTCTCTGGTTCTCTCCTTTCTGTCCACTCATAAAATATATATTTAGTGCACAGTCCTTTCAAGCACTTGCTAACCATTGGAGAAAAGAAGTTTACAAAGCTAGCAATTGGCAGGAGAATTGGGGAATTGGAGTTGTAAGTTGTGCTATTTTCAAAGTCTCTCTTAGTCATGTTCTGTCTGCTTTAGTCTTGTCAGGCTCCTTATTGCTACAAAAAGGCATGACGTTCTCATTTAAATTTTGAGATTTTCTCTTCTGAATGGACTGACGTTCCTCTCTGTCCATCTAAATCTCGGGTCACTTTCTAAGAATAATGTCCATAAAAACCATCAAGTTCTGAATTCATACACTGATGTAAAATCTTACCTATTTATCTATTTAGTTCATTGAAATCCCACTTATTTAAGCATCAAGACCTATGTTAGTCATCTTATTTTTTATGTGAACTAATCAGTACCACATTCAATAATTATTTTTTGTAAATCTAATACACAAAAATCAGAATACATATTCCCTAGATACTGGAATTATAAGAAAAACATAGTCTGTGTCCTTTTGATATTTATAATGACATAATTCATTAAAATTATAAGGATCATAGAGGAGAGATGCAATGTGCTATAAAAGAGTTTAATCAAGATTCTAATTAGGCCTGGGGACTCGGAAAAGGCTTTCCTGAAGGAGTTATATTAAAGTCAACTGAGGAGGCTGAGGAGTTAGCCAGGCAAAAAAATGGGAATTCTTTGGGAAAAGTACAGAAGCCAGGCCCTCTGCTTTTTGCCAGGCATGGTAAATCTACTTTATACATTTTGTTTCAGCAAGTTGTGCTGGATATTTCAAATTTTATAAATGTGGAAGCTGGGGCATAGATCAAGTAAGTTACTCAGTGACACTGTGAAGTGAGAGGCAAAGGCAAGAATGAAAGTCAAGTCTGTTGGATTTTAAAGTCCATCTTTTAATTTTCACACAGATACTGCTTGCTCTCTAGAACAGGGTTCTTGTACTTTTATTCTTCAAAGAACCTTTGCTTTGAATGTAGAACTCATTACGTAACTTTGAAAATCTATTTGATATAGACACATTGGCTACGCAGTATGAAAAAATAGCCTTAGTCCTTTTGCTATTGGGGTGACCCCCGTTAATCGCCACAGAGAAGTTTGGTTTATTTTTCTGCAGTGGTTACCTGTACTTTGTAAGAGACTCTTCATCATATATTTTTTTTATATAATAGTTAGATTTGCAAGTCCCCTGCATTTACAGTTTTGGTCTTTTTTAACCAATACTGTAGCCTTAAAGTTTCCCCTCCCACCTTAACCAAACCTTATTTTTCCTGAATACAGACCTTTGAACCCCATTTTCTTAGGAAACTTAATGAATTCTTCTCCGTCCTCCTGAAAACATAACCTCTTCTCTCAGTTTCTTGCCAGTTTTACAACCTAAGAGTGTCTCTCTCAAGAACCTGGGAGGCCATCCTTTTTGAAGGTAATCTCCTCCTCTGAAAGGAGGGGGCCTACCTTCATAAGCAAGATTTAGCAGTCAGATGGCCTCATCACATTGAGCAACCTCCTCCTCAAGTCCTCCAGCAGTTTTTTGCATTAGCTCTCCTCAGATTTAACAACTCTCCTAAGACTCAACTAAGCCTGAAATAAGCTTTACATTGCATAAAAACCCAATGTATTCTCCAGCTGGTGGCTCAGTTGGTTGAATATCATCCCATACACCCAAAAGGTTACAGGTCCAATTCCCTGTCAGGGCACATACCTAAGTCGTGGGTTCAATTCCTGGTCAAAGTGCATACCGGAGGCAACAGATCAATGTTTAATTAACAAAAACATTGTCCTTGATTGTGTGAGAACTAAAGGTGTCATTGAAACATACTACCAGAAAAATCCATGTCTGTCTATCATCTATCTATCTATCTATCTATCTATCTATCTATCTATCTATTGTTTTCAAATATAAACTTCCCCTCTTTCCACTATAGTATAAAATATATTTTCTTTCATCTGCACTTACGTAACAAGAATATTTGGATCACATATTACTATTCAATATAAAAGCATCTAAAAAGAAGTTGGGGCATAAATTCAAAACTACCTTTCAGGCAACAATGATTATCAAAAATCTAAATTGCTACTTAAAGTCTCCACTTGTGCCGAAGCCTAAGCTAGTTGGAAATGGTAGTTGTAAAACTCTGTCCTGGAAAACATTATTTGAGGAATTTAAATCCCCACTGACCACTTCACTAAGTAGGCTTTCATAATTTCTATTCTTGTTGTTATGTTGTTAGTGAACATGGGTAAATGTAGGTAACTTCTTAGTGAACACTTTTTCCCTCTCAATGTTGAATCCTCTACTATTTGCAAGTTTTCTCCACAGTCACTAGAAAATCATGTATATAAATGTTTACTGCGTGTGATTATTGATTTAGAGCACCTTTGTTTTATTCAAACTAAGCTGGATGTTATTTTAGAATAAATTTACTTCCTGTTTCCTATATTTTCTGAACATCATTTATAATTAAAATTTTTTATTGCAGAATCACCTATCAGATTTCAGGGACTTTAAAAACCTCTGCAGTGTTTGTTTCTGAAGCAGTCTTTGAAGTCTGCTGCTGAGCTGTGGCAGAATCAGCAATTCCATTCACTAAAAAGCCACTTACTGCATTGGAGTCATTATATATTGGGAGTTATTTATATTACGCAGCTGAGTTGTTGCCTACGTTTGCCGGTCTCTCAGAGATTCCACTTTGTGCCCACGTTGAAGCAATGCTCCAGTTTTACATAAAACCAGGATTATTACACAAAAATCATTTGGGACCGAATTTACCAGTACCTGGGATGTGATAACCATGAGTAAATTAGGCATTTAAAGAAACATCATTAGGTTTGTGTCTATTTAATGTGATGCAGAGAAGGTCTAGGAATGATTGTTTGAGAGAGAAAAAGCAAGAGAAAGATGTCTTGCTGGCTTTTGCTGCTGGTTCAGCTACTGACTTTCCTGGGTGAGGGGACGCATGTAAGTCCTCTCAACACATCTACAAGGGCAGAGCCCTGTTTATGTGGCTGTGACCACTCAGAAAACAGACAATCCTGCTAGTCACCCCTGATATTGGTTATGTTCCTTCTGGTATCCACCCCTATGCTATATCACCACTTGCTTCTTGCAGCTGGTCTGACTTATCAGAGGATCCTAGAATCATCCATTGTCCCAGGAACTGCAACACGAACCCAAAAAAGGCATCAAAGAGATGAATTAAATTCCTTCTTTATTAATAATACAATAGTAACAACACTTAGGTTCCTCTGGTGTTGGATTCATATGACAGACACTGGAACTATTGTCTAGTCTTGTGACACAGGCCTGTGTCTGTCTGGATCTGATACCAGTGGATGCTCAGCAATGCTTATCTCCTGTGACATTCTGATGCTCAAGACATGCACCTGATGATCCCCAACCTCTAATTGTCATCAATCAGATGCCTTTTCTTGGCCATTTCTACTAATCAAACAAAAACTAGGATGGGCTAAGTTGTCTGAGGACTTTGAAACTGATCCCCAACAATCTATACCTCACCCTAGTTCATTATTCCCTGAGTCTCTGGGGGCAGTGTAGGGAAATGGAAAATCTGAAACCATCTTTTTATTTCTTTGTGAACATTTCTCCATCACAACCTCCTTGCCCAGATTATTTGAGAGTTGCTCTTTTTATCACAGCACATTTAAATATGTTCCAGCCCAGCTGATGTGGCTCAGTGGATTGAGTGTCACCCTATGGACCAAAAGGTCCCAGGTTTGACTCCCCATCAGGGCACATGCCTGGGTTTCAGGCTGGATCCCCAGTGGAAGGCATGCAGGAGGCAGCCGATCCATGTCTCTCTCTCATCGATGTCTCTCTCTCTCTCTCTCTCTCTCTCTCTCTCTCTATCAATAAAATTTTTTTAAAAAAATAATAAATATGTTCCAAATCCTGATAATCAAGATTCATAAGACTTCCTGTAGGCTCTTAGACAAATGCAAAGAAATTATCATATTTGTAAAAGCAACACATGCAAAAATATGTTCTCCAAAACTTATTTCCTAACAAACAAGACAGATGAATTTTTAAAAGTGCTTTAAAATGACTCAAACCAATGATGTGTCCATTAGATTTTCTAATACAGAAGTGCAGAATTTTTATGTAACATTCTCTCCACAGTTTTTGTCAGATTTGATATCCACTCACTTGCTTGGCTAATTAGAGACTGCTCAGATCTGCCTGTGGACATGCTAAATCAGGTCAAAACCCTTGAAGTCAAAAAGGAGACTGAGAGAGAAGGAGCTACAGGAAGGTGAATGCAGGAGATGGCCCAGCCTGGGAGCAGATGCCATCTTCCTATTAGCAAATGTGGAAATAAAAGTCACTTCTATTTTCTTTTTTTTTTTTTTTATATATATATTTTATTGATTTTTTACAGAGAGGAAGGGAGAGAGATAGAGAGTTAGAAACACCGATGAGAGAGAAACATCGATCAGCTGCCTCCTGCACATCTCCCACTGGGGATATACCTGCAACCCAGGTACATGCCCTTGACCGGAATCGAACCTGGGACCTTTCAGTCCGCAGGCCGACGCTCTATCCACTGAGCCAAACCGGTTTCGGCAGTTCTATTTTCTGAGAACTTTTGCCAAGCTTAAGGTGATGGGTTTATGACCTTCAAATACCTGTAAAAGTACAGCTGTTATTTTACCCCTTCCTTCTTTCTCCAGAAAATCAAATCTTCTTGGGGTTTCCTCTTCATAAGTCTTGTATTTTATAACTGTGTTCATCTCACAACACAAACACTCACTCATTTATATAAACACTAGAGGCCTGGTGCACGGATTCGTGCACTGGGAGGGTCCCTTGGCCTGGCCTGTGCTCTCTCACAATTTGGGACCCCTCTGGGGATGTCAGACTGCCGCTTTCACCCAATCCCCGCAGGCCAGGCCGAGGGACCCCACCAGTGCACGAATCCGTGCACTGAACCTCTAGTATGCATATAAGATCTTTGGTTAATCTCTTCCCACCCCCCCCCCCCCCCGCCACTTCCCTCTGAGATTCAGTCTGTTCCATGTTTCCATGCCTGTGCATTGAGAATCTGCCCCCTGGTGGTCAGTGCACATCATAGCTACCGGTCAAATGATCAAACAGTCAACCTAGGCTTTTATATATAGAGATGCTTAATATTGAATCCTGAAGTTTCAGGGATTGCCCTCTCTCACCCCACTGGGAATCTGTCCCAACCACCACTTCTCATTTCTCAATACATTAATTCTTTTGGTTTAGAAGTTAATGAAGCTTCTTTTTGTGTTAATCCAATCCATAGCTCTTGATTTCATCTTTGTATGCTAAAATATAGGGGGAAAACAGCCTTATTTATACTTTGCATAATAAATAGCAACACAAACATTTATTTTCCATCAAAGCCATTTTTAAAAATTCTACAAACAAGGATACTTAAGGCTGTAGTTTATCTGCCAAGAAAATCTTGCTTTGAGGGACACAGCCCTTTCAATACAACCCCCAAATTCATTCTTGACACCATCCAAGGTCACCTGGACTCAATTAATTCGAAGTGATTGAGTGGCATATCCATTCAAGTGCCACCACCCTATTCCAGAATTCCCACCCAAAACCATAGGTGAGAATGGAAGAAAGGGCTGAAGATATTGATTTTTTCTTCCTTTCTTTCCCACTGTATTAAAAGCTACTTTTGTTAATAAAATGGATACTGAGAAGAGGCAAAAACTGGGCTAATGTTTTTTCTATAGGTTGTTGAGGATGGATAATGTTCTTTAAGATATTGCCCACATATATGTCTGGAACCCATAATATGATCAGAATTACATTGTTTTTTTAACATGGTAGAATAAATGAAGCTTTATTCACTTTAATCAAGGACCACATTTTTAAGATGTTGAAAGTTTATAGAATAAATTATTTCATATTTTATTTTAGTCTTATTCTTGAAATTTATTTGACTTGAGTCTGATGACTAAAACACCACATTTACATGATATATGCAGGGTTTTTCATTTGATTGTTTATTTTAACAAAAAACACAAACAAACATAGCCTGATAAAAGTATACTAATTGAGTGCTAATTATAACAGATAGAGGAGATTTTGGATGCTGAAGTTATGTGCTTTTAAAAATTATAGATGAAATAACTTCTAATCCATCCAAATGCCTACACTCTTAATGAACACATAGATTGTAACTCATTCAAAATTTTACATTTATTTTAAATAAAAATAATCAAGGAGTGGCTTGCTGTACTCTATACTGTTGTATCTTTGTGTCTGTATGATTAAAATCATTTTTTAAAGAAAACATTATATTATTGCCATACAATTCACTTTAATGATAGCTCACAGAATTCATCATATATGTGTCTTCAATTACTTTTATCTTGGCTGAAAATAAATGCTCAATGTTTCTTTCCAGAGCCTATTAAGGGGAAAGAAGTGAAGTTGGCAGCTTCCCCAAAGGAAAAAGGTAATATTGTATAATGAAATGTGAAAACACATTGATCTGCCCACTGAATATTCAGTTACTTACAACAAAGTAATATATCATTTATTTTTAATGTTCTCAAACTATAACATTCATATGCCTGTGTATGTTTCTGAGTGAAGAACAACAGACTTACTTCCTATCATAAAATTCTAAACTGTACTACGAAATAACAAAGGAAAGAGTAACAATGTCAGAAATATTGAAAAACTTTTAAAAATGCATATGCTCATCTGATTTTATCAATCTCTGGTGGGAAATCAACATTTTATAATCCCAAGGTGACTCTTATTAGGAATAGCCATGGAAACCAAGGGTTTAATATAAAAAGTAATACTTAAAATTTCTCAGTGATATCTTGCCATTCTTTAAGTTCAAATAGAGAAAAATCATAAATTTTATGGCTAGGAAAAACTTAGGGATAAACTGTAGTCCAATATTCTCATCTTATAAATACATAAAATGAATAGTAAAGAAGCTTTTAAAGTTATTGTAATTTCCAGCAGCGGCAACATTAGAATTCTGATCTCCTAAATCAAGCACTGCGCTCTTGAATCTTATTGCATCCCTTGTCTCCCCATTATACTAGTCTCTGAGTAATGTGGATCTGATATGCCATACATCAAGTTATGTCCCCTAAAACATAAGTAAATATGCTAAGTTCAATGCCATACAGTTGGTTTCAAATTAATCCCAGTGCATCCTGTGGGCATAGTATCATACTCAGAACTGTCTAATTTTCCTTGTCAAAGAGAACATATTCGTGAACCAATGAAACCATAAAATGCACCACATTGAATGTCAGAAATAGAGCCTGTTTCTACATTTACTCTAAAGAGAAATCTGCATGAGTTACTGTTGCTTCACAAGCCTGGCTGGGAGCTTCCTGGACCAGATATGAAATTGGCCCTCTGTCACTGGGGGGCCTGGGAGGCTGAAGAGAGGCAGACCACTCCAGATCAGTAGGTGGCAGGTTTAGTAAGGAAGAGAACTCACTAAAAAGGCTTGTCTTGGCTGGCCACAGAATGAGTAGATTTCCCCACCAGCCTGCCAGAATATTAAAAGTCCATATAGAGGCCTTAACTAGGTTTAGTCATGTATACAAGAAGCCTTAACTGGGTTCAGTCACATGTATAGCAGGCCTTCGTAAGCTTTCATCAGAAACCCAGTTCAGAATGTGCCCTCACTACATCATTATTCTAAGGCTGTGTCCTTGGACAGCTTCTAGCTGTGGGGAGGCGAGTGGGGAGCACATTCCTAAGCACTGGAGAGAGAATGGGGAGCTTCCAGTTGTCCTGGGGGAGCTCAAGGGTCAAACCAGTGGTAACATCTTGATGACGTTTCCCTACACTAATGTACAGGGACTTAGTGGTAAAAATTGCAACTTATTGGCATTGTTTTATTAGACTTCTGGTACACCTGTATAAACATGTTGGAGTTTCAAGAGATATGAAGGAAATGAGAAAGCTGACAGGGAATCAGCCAGAGAAATGAAGGATGTATGGAGAGTCCCCTTTAGTTCATGTAGCAATGTATAAAAGCCCTACCCTGAAGTCATATTTTCCTAACTTTGCAGTTAATTTTGAGTTAAACAAAAGTGCCACTTAATGAAGCACAGAGCACAACATGAATTTTTTTCTCAGCCCACATATGTGCTTGAATTTTTAAAAAGCAACATGCACTCCAAACATATTAAAACATTTTTTTAATTTTTATACTATCAACATTATTATTGATAGTATTACAGATGTCTCCTGTTTACATCTCCCATTTGCACTTATATTTTATTTTAGAAATGTTTTATATTTAAAACTTTACTTTTATAATCACCAATGATAGTTTTTTTTTGTTTGTTGTTTTTTTTTTTGGTGCTATGGGCAATTTTATATTATCCTGTTATGTGAATTAGGATGTTTTGCCTTACAAAGGGATTATTACATGTTATATTAAATGTCCAATACATAGAGAAATGTTGCTGTATTATTCAAAGAATTAATTAATGGTGAAAACTACACATTAATTTATTTTGAAGAAACTCTAAATTACTTTAATAGGATCTAATTGTTGATTGGAATGGATGTTTACATAACAATCTAAATTGAAATCATTTGATGCCATTAACTAATTTAATCACACTGTGATGTTATAATTCCTTTGCCAATCTAAGACAGAAGTATAAAATATAAGGAACAGATAGGAATATTATAAACATCCACATTTTTCATTAAAGAAGTTTAGTTAAAAAAAAAAATTCCCCAGCAGAAATGCATATGAACTACATATATAAATGAAAAATAATTCAAGTTTCCATTAAAAACACTTGGTGTTCATTTTAATCTTTGATCATTAAAATATCAAACTAAGATTTTCCTCTCTCTTCTTTTATCTTTCTGTTATTGCACAACAGATGGTAAGTCTAGTATCAGTCAGTTCATGGTCACAGATAATGGTGGTGGGGAAGAGAGCACTTTTGAAAGATATATTTTTAACAGTTATGTTTTATTTCACTATTACATAATTTTTACATTATTGTACCATTCTCTCCCTAATTTTTAATGAAAATTATATGTGGACAAGAGTTTGTATAAAATTTCAATTAATTGCAACAACCAGAACTATTATTTTTAATTTTGTCCTATTATTTTCTTAGAAATTGAGGCTTCAAATGATTGAATAAAAATATGTAATTAGTCTTTTTATTTTTACAATTTAAAGTGACAGTGACCTCTTTTAGTAATGTGCCTTAAAATTTTATTAATTGAATCTCATCATTTTTCCCCCAAACAAGCAAGCCAAATTCAGGTCTGTGATACTAAATAAGAATTATAGTACTTGGTTATTCTGACAAAAAAGTGTAATCATAATATGACTTTCACTTTCACCTATCAGAGATATTGTCCCATTAAGCTTCCTTTACTTTAAGGGGGTCAATGTCATAATATACATTAGAACAGTCACAATACAAACAGATCATATTAGAAAACAAAAGGATATAAAAGACATCCAAATAAAAAAGCAGGAAGTAAAATTATCCCTGTTTGTAAATGACATTACCGCACATGTAAAAAACCCTAATGACTCCACACACAAAAAAAATTGTTAGAATTAATACATGAATTCAGTAAAGTTTATTGATACAAAATCAACATACAAAAATCAGTTGAATTTCTAAACACTAACAATGAACAATCTGGAAAGAAAATTAAAACAATTTTATTTACAATAGCATCATAAATAATGAAATACTTAGGGATAAACTTAACTAAGGATACAAAATACTAGTAAATTGAAAATTACAAAACATTGATGAAGTAAATTAAAGAAGACACAAATACATAGAAAGACATCCTATGTTAATGGATCGGAAAACTTAATATTGTTAAAATGTCCATACCACTCTAAGTGATTTACATTTTCAATATATTCCCTATAAAAATTCCAATGGCGGTTTTTGCAGAAAGAGATAAGACAATAATAAAATTCATAATATACTACAAAGAACCCCAAAAAGCCAAAACAATACTGGAAAAAAAGAAGAAAAAACGAGGAAAAAAGAGGAAAAAAGAAGAGTCATACTTGCTGATTTCAAAGCATAGTATATGCTACAGTAGTAATTAAAACAGTATGGTACTGGCATGAAGACAGACGCTAGACAAATGGAACAGAAGAGAGAGCCCAGAAATAAGCCCACACATATACGGCTGACTGACTATTTACATGGATACCAATACATAATGGATAAGGCCTAGTTTCTTTAACAAATGAGATAGGGAGAACTGGATGTCTACATGCAAAAGAATAAAATTGGATCCCTATTGTGCACTGCACACAAAACATAACTCAGTAGCTTAAACATAAGACCTGAAACTGTAAAATTCCCAGAGAAAACATAGGAGAACATCTTCATGACACTGATATCAGCAATGATGTCTTGAATGTAATGCCAAAAGTGTAGGTAACAAAAAGAAAACTAGACTTATGAGGCAACATGAACCTGAAAAGCCTCTGCACAGCAAACAATCAACAGAGCAACCTATGCAGGAGGCGGCCGATCAATGATGCTCTCTCCTCATTGATGTTTCTATCTCTTTCTCCCCCCCTTCCTCTTCGGCATGCCCCCCTATGAGGATTGAGCCTGCAACCCCAGGCATATGTCCTGACTGGGAATCGAACTGTGACCTTCTGGTTTATAGGTCAATGTTCAACCACAGGGCCACACCAGTTGAGCAAAGATAAATTAAAAAAGAAAGTAGTGGTGCTTGCCAAGTGCCAGGAGAGGGGTAAATGGAGCTGTTCAATTGATAGAAAGGTCCTATTATTCAAGATGAAGTTATAGAGATTTGTTGTATATGATTGTGCTTACAGATACAAATAATATACATCTAAACATTTTTATGAGAGTGGATCTTGTATTTTTTCACCACATTAAAAAATGATCTGCTTAATCAGTCTTTTCAATTAAAAAAAAAAAACCCTTAAATTTATCCATTTTGTATGAAATTGTGGGTTCAAATATCTATAGTGCATTGAATAAAAGTAGACACATATTCCAATTTATGTTCTTAAATCTGGTTATACACTAAAATCTCATATGGAGTTAAAATAAAAAATTTTAGTCAGGTCCCATGACCAAAAAGTCTCATTCAGTAATGATGTGGTAGGGAAAGAAATGGCTTTCCACAGTCTCATTTTGCAGGAAAAATAGAACTATATATTCATGCTTTGATGCCTCATCTTTTCTCCAAATCCTTAGAATGAAAGAAAAAATATAGATGGGTACGTTAAAAAGACATAGGCTGTGCAAACAAAGAGAACATACATATGTGTGTGTGTGTGTGTGTATGAAAAACAGGAAGCAATTAGCCGGAATAAAGCTGCATGGATGCTGGGCTTTAAGTATTTAAGCAGCAGAGCTTATGAGGAGTTTAGTTAAGACAATAACGCACATTCCAATAAGCAGAGATTGTAAGCAAGTCTCAATG